ATTAATCAGCAGAGTAATTGAACAATGACACTCAGATAACAGAAAACCCGAGCGTTGGTTCACTTTTAATTTAATAATCCTTTTCTCAATCAAGATGGCACGAAAAAGTCATGAAAATTGACGACATGCGAGACACAAAGACTTGGAAAAATTGTAGGAAAAACACTTTTTAGAGAATACCCTACCTCCGATACCAATACGCCTCTGCCATAATAACAGCCCCAGCAATTCCTCAGTTACAATCGAACAAAAAAACGAAACTTTGAGGGAAATTCTGGACTACAGAACGTCTGGGCCAGTGGTCCGTTTGGGACTGTGGAGAGGGGGCGGAAGTGGCATTTCTCAGAGGGTGGAAATGCATTGGTTTTGGGGCTGAGGATCTCTTAACCTTACTTACCTGCGCGGGCTTTCGATGCAGCTAATTTAGGAGCCACCGGGGCACGACCCGAGGGAAAAATTTGGAGCGCAAATTCACGAGCAGATAAAATTGTTATTCTTACCTTTGCCGGGGTGACGGAGGCGAGTAATCCCGGGTGTCGTCGAAGATATCGTCCAGACGTGTATCTTCATCCTCGCCGGTATTCATTTTTGGCGGAATAAGTTGTTAAAATTGTGGTGATGTCAACGTATGTTTCGTACCCATACTACACTCCCTCGTAAACGCCCGGTTTAGGCTAGGTTCCAGCGGTTTTGGCGCTCTTCGAAAGCGGGATTGGTTGGGGATTGTACTGTAGGTACTGTAGGAGTGGACGCTATAGTGAGTGGAATGCTGCACATGCGCAGTTCGAACACGCGGAGTTTCTATTACTTTAAGGGTGCCAAGTGAATTTGAAAAAAGATTTTAAAAAAAAATTTTCTTTCCCTCCATCATTGGAGAAATATGTATTCATCCATCCGACGAAATTTCAAACCCGCAACCGGAACTAGACATCGAGAAAATAAATGCGGAAAATCCTCTATTTCGCGTGACGAACCTCGAGAAAGCATGGGATCAAATGGGTACGGCGGGTTGAAATATCTCTCCTATTCACCCCGGTACCCCATTGTTTTTTGTCGCCATCACATTGAACACATCATTCCCCATATCTTCAAATTTTTTCAAATTTTTCTTGAGTTCCTAGGGGGTTGAAACGTTCAATTTAATCAAACCTCCATAAGAGGCCGTGTATAAGACTGATTTTGTTTATTTAATTTCTCGATATCCGTAAGTTCTAAAATTTTAAAATTGTCACCGATGTTCACCATCTGTCTAATACTATTAATTAAAAAAATTATAACTTCGTTGGTGAATGTCAATTTTCAAGGTCATCGCCAAATTCATTTGGCATCCTTAAGGATGTTTATCCAAAATCGCAAGTACTTGAAAAAAAAAAAGATTTTTTTTTCAACTGAGAGATGAAGATATTCCCTTCACTTTGATACAAATTTCAATCCACCAATCCATGCTCATTATTTAGAAATGAAATAGACAGGCGCTTATGTGCACGATTGCAGTACTCGTGCTAAAATTTTTCTGAAAAATTTCTCTCCGTGTAGCACTCGGCGAAGGCGAGTGCACTTTTACCCTAAAATGGTTTTATGTACTTGTATGGGAAATATACTATTCTCCAACAGTTAAAGTAGAACGAATAAACTCTAGTACTATAACAGACTAATATAGTTCACTGCGAATAATTTTATTAATCTACGGAAGAGAGGATTGAACAACAAGACATGTAGTGGTTATTAAAATTAGTGTAGAATGACATCCGACTGCTCTCTGAAAACAGTGGCAGTCGGAAACTTTTGTCGGATACGTAATTTATCAATGACACAGTCCACGTAATTTCTTGTCTTCATACTGGATCATTAGATTGGCCTCCACCATGTCCGATGTATGCCTATGAAAATTGAATCGGGGATCGGTGGACCCGAACGTTTCGTCGTACCACCAACCATAGCTGCGGATTAGCACAGAGAATTGAATATTTTCCTCAATCGAATATTTCAAATCGTCATATAAGTTTTATCAGGAATTTAACAGCTATTTAATTAGTGATCTATCGACAATTTTCCATTTTCATTAAATTGTTGATTTTCATATCTCAATGAAAACTGATAAACTCAAATTATTTGTGTAATTTTATCCGAAACTAGTAGTGAAAATAATCATTACTTTCTCTCACCTCTGACTACTCAAAACCGGAAATCGATAGAGATCTCTAGGCCCCCGCCTCTCTCGCGCCATCCTCTCCCTCACGGCTTCGGCCACTCGATCCTCCACCTCGCCCTCAACTTCCGGCAACGTCTCCTTGTTCCAAAATTTCGGGGTAACAAAATTGGCTACAAATTTAAGAACACCTTCCTTCAATGGTCAGTTACGATCATCAGACGACACGTACGAAAAAATTTCATAGAAAAATTTAGCGAATTCGATGGACAATTCTGCAGGACTTCTACGAAACATTCTATTAATTGCTGGTTCACTCTAGTACGAAATTCTGTAATGAAACGTTCAATGGAAAATATTCTATCGAAAAAATATAGCATTTGATCCTTGTATAGATGTTGTTTCATTTCATTACATCATATTGAGACATTTTCTACCGAAATTCATCAGTTGGAATTTTCCAAGATTTTTGAATCGAATAGAAAATTTGTAGTCGATCAAATTTAAGTTTTTGCATTGTTTGTGGTATATCAACCGATTAAGACTAAAAAGCGATTAAAATAATTATATTTTCTTCAAATATGCTTCAAATTCATTCAATTATGCATTAAAAAATTGTTTCTGATACAATTTTATCGGAGTTTCAAGGTAAAATACATAACGTCATTCTTTCATTTGATTTATCTATCTATTTATGTAAATCTAACACAATTGATTAAAGAAGAAATATAATTCAGTAGCGAAGTGATAAACCGGTCTAAGTCGACGTATCTCCCAGTTGAGTTTTTGAGGAATATTTCCGAATCTGACGGAGATAGCGAAATTTTCGTAATTACATTTGTTGTAGCTCTCAATCGGGTCTACAAAAAAGGTGATATTAAAAATTTTGGTATCTCCCTTAGATTCCGAGATATTCATTGAAAACTGGTTAATCGTCAAAATTGACTTGTATCATTTCACCACTGCGCTACTGAATTGAATTGGACAATAGAGTATTTCGATACGAGTGCGTAACAGTGTTTTATGACCCGTGGGAGGCGTGTAGCCCTCGCCGAAGGCACTTTTTCATCACAACGTGTGGAAAGCTTGCGTAAAATGTCAGCCCGCGTAAAATTTCACTTTACGCACAAGTGATGAAATCGTATATTTTGTGATACCTGCCTGAAAAGTGCATTTTTCGAAACTGTTTAATGTGCGTAAAGCGGTTGTTTTCCACACGGCATGCGTAAAGCGAAGCTCTTGAACTTTACGCACTCGTGCACAAAACCAACCACTTCAACCCCACTAACCTCATGAACAGTGAATTCGACAGGCATCACAAAAAATGGCTGTTACACGTGCGTGTGAAAAAATGGATCTTTACGCACTAGTGACACAATATACTATTTCATCACGTTGTGACGAAAAGTGAACTTTACGGCACGCTCCGCGTGCCTAAAAGTCCAATTTCCGCCACATTGTGATGAAAAATATTGTTCGTAACTCGTGAAAAAATGTTTTTTAACTCGTGGGATTATATCACTCGCCTTCGGCTCGTGATATAAACCTCCCACTCGCCAAAAAACACTTTTTTTGCACTCGTTACGAAATATACTATTTGACCCGTGGGAGGTGTGTAGTGCTGCTACCCTCCCAAGGGTTAAAGAACACTTTTCCCACGAGTGTCAAACCCCATTTTCTATCGCGATGTGCGGAAAATGGGATTTTTCGCACGCGGAGCATGCGTAAAAATACATTTTACGCACAAGTGATGAAAAATAGTATTTATCAGATACTTTCTCTAAAAAAACACGCAGAAAACTGCGGAATTCTTCAATAGAATCAGTAAAAAACAGAATTTTCAATAGAAATCCACTAGAATTTTGCATCGAATCAGCTGAATTTTTCTACAAAATTTTTTCGCCCGCGGAGTCTCACCGGATGAATATTATCCAACAATACCATCAACCTTCGACACCAGAACCTCGGACCTTCCGGGCATCTGAGGCTTCGGAAAGCACAGCTTGAAGGGCGGCTTTTCCGCGGGTCTCTTACCGAGCGAGGGTGTATTCTCGCTGCCACGAGACTCCGAGGGATCCGCCGACATACTTCACAGTCATATACTATTCGTACTGAACCGGGAATCGATTGCGGTTTATGTCACCGGCTTAACTGCTGAATTCATAGCCCCGTCGTCCTTATTAATACCTGCAGTGGCTCGAGAATTTACTCGAAGTATAAGAGCACTCGCCGAGCCTTATTTGATCAATACAACGACCTGAAAAAAAATTTATTCCCCCTACCGAAGGACTAAGTGCATTATGAAATAGACCAGGGTATTTTATTCTCTGTATCATCTCTTTTTATTGTAGTTTCAAAGTTTCTCATTGTGATAATGTCGTGGATCGAAATGATAATACAGTTGCTCTGGCTACTGGCACCAATCACTAGAAAATTCTTCGACAATTCATTTTACCTCAAGGCAATTGGGATTATTCTCGCTTTATTCTTACATTTTCACCACTGGGGTTGTGACGGTGGAAATAAATTATATCTTTTAAAATATAATTTAATATATTTATGGAATACATTAAATATTATATATTATATATCATATATTATGTATCATATATTATATATTATATTATTTAATATATTTATAGAATATGTTAAATTAAAGATATATTCAAGATAAAATTTATAATCAATAAAATTCATCTCTGAATCAAGAATACTCTCATTTTAGATCAATTAAGCTCACCAATCCCATTTCCCCACCAACACAGTTCTTGACATTGAAAAAAAAATCAAAGCTGTTCATCGCACAGAAGATATAGCATTTTACCCCATATTCAGTTTCACTATCTCCGTCACAATATAATTCCCCTCTCTCCTTTAAAAATCCAATTTCCTCAATTTTTACAGATTTATTTGCCCCGAAATGGGTTTCTTCCATGACTCCAGCACATTATATTAAACAACGATGTCTTGTTATTTGTAATACTTAAAAGTATCTGTATAACGAGTCGTAGATGTCATAATCCGGTATCAACATGTGCCACAACTCTCGAACAACATTTCGTATCTATATAGCACGTAGCTATTTTAATATGTCTCAATTTTTCGTAGATACATATCTCTCTTGATTGTTAAATTTTCTGGTTTCGGTTTACAACGGCGGACTCAAATATCGCGATTTGTTTTTTTTAATTTTTATTTTTAAATTCGTGTATCATCCGTGAATTTTCATATTGTGGATCGTTTTGGGGGCTAGATATATACGCCTTTCACTGTTTGAATTTCATTTGATATTTTAATGTAATGAAATAGTATTTTCAACACGTTGTGCGAAAAAGTAATTTTTTAAAACGTCCCTTTTCCACACATTGTGATGAAAACTATCGTTCGATACTCGTGGCATTATATCATTCGCCTTCGGCTCGTGCTGTAAACCTCCCACGAGCCAAAAAACTCTTTTCCGCACTCGTAATAAAGTATACTAATTTCGATACGAGTGCGTAATACTATATTTTGATACAAGTGCAGCGGATTTTTCAAGAATTTTGAGTTTTTCCTGAGGCAAAGCCGAGGGCTGCCAATCGCACGAGCTGAAACTTCCCGTCTCACATGCGTCGAACAATATTTTTTCACAGTGATATTACGTTCAGCGAGTGACTGAACTGTGTCATTTTCGTTTACAAGTAAACGAAAAGAGTTTTCGTTTACTTTTCGTTGACGAGTAAACGAAATAGTTATTTTCATCACAAGGTCCACAAAGTATTTTCTGACGAATGTGGCTTTGTAGGCCGAGCCGAAGGCGAGGCCTATATAATCACATTCGTCAGAAAATACTTTTGGACCTTGTGATGAATGCAATTTTTCGTCAGAAGGTACTTTTCAGCACGAGGTGATCGTAGCAGCAGTGGCAAAATAGTACATCATGTCATCAGGCGATAAAAGTATTATTCTTGTGACGTTATAATCCGAGCTGAAGGCGAGGATTATATCACATGAGTCAGATAATACTTTTACCGCTGTGTGACGTACAATATTTTATGTCACTGGGCCCGAAAACCGCGATTTTAACTAGTAACACAAAACTGTTTTGAAAGTGTGTAATTTTTTTTGACCCGTGGGAGGTGTGTACTCTTCCGAAGGTCAAAGAACACTTGTCCCATGAGTGTAGAACCCTATTTTTCATCACAAGATGTGGAAAATTTCACTTTACGCACAAGTGAGGAAACATATTTCAAGGCGAGTGCCATGGGGGTTTTACTCGCGAGGAGTTGGCGTCCGAAGCGCAGGCGAGGTCTGGCCAACCACGCGAGTAAAAAAAACCCATCGCACTAGTCGTGAACGATATTTTTCCGTAGTGATTTTCACGTTTACGAGTTTGGGGAAGGGTCAATACCAATTCCCGGAGGGGAAAAGTAAAGGGTAGTAAGGAAAATTGAATTCTGCCTTGTGAAGATGCGGAATGGGAAGTCCCGTACATCTCTGTCAACATCCATATTAATATATGAATTGATTCCAAGAGGTTTAAATTCATTAGCCGTTACCCAGCCACAAATTTGAAATTAATTAATTATGAGCAGTTGTTGTAAACCAAAACCAATTTTATCCTCTCCTTTATTCTAAAAGAACAACATTACTACATGCTAAATGAGTACAATGATTTTTCACTTTATGAGATTTGATGGAAGATGAGTCGAGGTATCTGCAGTCATTGCGTTAACCCTAGTCTGGTCACCTGACGGGAAAATGCGACTTTAGTCACCTTCGCGGGGGAGTGCCGCCGTGTTATTTAGGCTCCAGCGTTGCCGAATCCACTCTACACTTCCCGGGCGCGTTTAGCGAGTTTCCAGCAACGTCGCGGAACAGGCGGTTTCATTTAACACGGGAAAAAATTGTTCACCTGTTGGAAATAATTTTTTTTCTCCCAGAATTAAGGATACAATATTGAAAAAAAAAATACTAGAATTTTCCAGATACTTCAATTGACGAATTCAATTTTTCTCAAATTTTTCCGGTCAACCAGTCGATGGCAAGGTGAATAAAACGACATGTTGCGGCAATTCCCTCGCATGGTGACCAGTCTAGGGTTAAACTTCCTAAGACGATTCATATCGGTATGGACATGTAAAAAAAATAAGCAAAATCAATGTCTATCGTGATACAGTATGACATTGGTACCAGCGCCGGCAGATGCTCTTTATTACTTAATGCCAGTCGTCATTACGAGGAGATGACAATAAAAATGATTAAATTAGGGAAACAATCATATGCATAGATGTACAAACATATCACAATATTCGATTCGTTCGGAAGGAATGAGAAAACGTCGTGGAAAAACATGTTTCTGGCGATGCACTGTGACATTTTGTTTTCTATTCAGTTTAGTGACTTGAGTTATTGTCGATGCATAACTGAATATTGAAAGCGATCCAAGGACAATGTGTCATTGATTTTTCCACGCGTTATGATTTTGGTGATTTTTTCGTCTCCCATTGTTTCAATACAGATTTTTCATCAACATTTTAAGGTGGTTTACCCCTTCTGGGCTTTTTAAATTTTATTAAAATATAGTAATTAGTGGAGTTTGTACATTCGCAATCCAGTCTCAACATTGAATATATTGATTTGCTGGGGTTGAACCCTCGTAGCATTCCAAAATTTTTTATTACGTAGAGACAAAGATATTCTTGAATCGAGAATACAGAATTGCATTCACTTTTTTGATTGTTCATAACTTATTTTTTTGTTTTTATTAATAATAAAAAATTGAAGGGCTGCAATTGATTATGACTTTTTTATTATTTATGATTTTTTTAAATGAAAAAGACGTATTCAATTCTTTTCATTGAATTGGAATATTTCTGTATTTTATTTAATAAAAAACATGTGAAACATTCATTCTTTAAGATTTCAGAAGTACGAATATTTAATTTTCAATTGAAGAATATTTTTCATGTTAATTGGGGTTTTGCATCCATTTATTGATCGTTGACTATTTTTTCATTTTCATAAATAATAAAATATTAATGGGCTGCAATTGAAACAAACAAAATTTTTTTTAAATTAAAACATTTTTTTTTCAATTGTTAAAGTCAATTGTTCAAGACTTTTAAATGACAAATATTAAATTCTTAATTGAAGAATATCTGCCTTCCACGCGATTTCCTCATTATTCGTGAATTTGGGTTGGACGATTCATCACTCTCCTGCATTATCTCCAACCCATCACAGTATTACGTCATGTTATTTCGTTTCGTCACATATAAGTACTTGCAATTTTCATTGAATCAGCAATTCAAATGATAAATATAGACAGTAGAATAAACTATCATCTTCATGAGGCGAAATGAACCAGACGTCAGCCCAGTTATCGATAGGCCTGGTACACCGCAAAAAATTATCGATTCACTCCCAACAAGTGATCATATTTTTTTCGTCCCATTCTATGGTGAACATTGTAACGAAGCGCAATAAACAATTTACGACGTCCATGCGTCTAAAATGTTATACTCAGAAGCGTCAAAAATATATATTTGAATACCGTTAATGTACACATTGGGTATTAAACGATTTCATAATTTACAACTACGAGTGGGTATGAAAAATAAAAAATATTTTTTGGCATTTTTTTCTTTTTTTTTCATAGTTTTTATGTTTAGTTTTTTTTTGGTTTTCTGTTTTCTTTCTCTAGTTTGTCGTCATGAGGAATAAGGACGAGGGCCAGATTGACGGATGAAGTGTGGTTTTATGAAGCCTTTCATCTGCCACGCAGGCACTAATTAACGATTTCATGAGGAAGTATAATCGATTAGTGGACATTTTCGGTTGAACTCATCTTTACATGGACGTGCATTTTTTTAAACAAAAAATCAAAGAAAATCTGGATGAATGTGTTAAGGAAACATGTAAGGAAGAAATATTCTTGAATCAAGGATAATTATCATCGCTCCAGGAATTGAATATTCTCCATTCAAAAATATACGAGATATTTTTGAATTAAAATATTTCATTCCTAGTTCAACGGTATTCGAAAGAAAATTTTTGAACTATTTTTTTTAATTTGAAAGGTGTTTTTCTAGACTTTGAGATTGAAATGAGATTCTCCAATCAAAGATGATTGGTATCGATAAAGGAATAAAATATCTTCCATTCAAAAATTCCTAGGAAATGGTTTTGAATAAAAATATTTCATTTCTAAATCAAGTGTATTTGACAGAAAATATTTCAACTATTTTTTTTCATTTTGAAGGTATTTTTCTAGACTTCGAAATGAGATTCTCCGATCAAGGATGACTGTTATCGATAAGGGAATAGAATATCCATTCAAATATTCCCAGAAGATATTTTTGAACTGAAATATTTTATTCCTAAATTAAAGGTATTTAAAAGAAAATTTTTGAACTATTTCTTTTATTTTGAAGGTATTTCTCCAGACTTTGGAATGAGACTTGACTCGTCCAAATCGTTTCATTTGGTCAGGAGATATCGATGATTTAATAGAGTCCATTTCACCTCACCTTCCCCAATGCATTATTGGAGGAAGAATTACATTAATAATTTAAAAATATTCTTCTTTCTCTAGTAGTGGGTGAAAACAGGGATTGGGTTAACGAAAAAATAATAAATAAAGAGAAGTAAAAAATCAAACTGAAAAAAACAAATTCAACCAATTAAAATATGGTCCTTTTTATTATCTTTTTTCATCGTTCTGAAAAAATTATTTCTCACTATTTCTTGTATCTCCATGTATGCGTAAAAAAGGCGATAAAGAACGTAAAATTTTCCATTTTTTTTTCTCCACGAATGTCTCCGTTATCTCTTTCTCAAAGCTTAGTTAACATTAAAGTGGCGACCAAAATCGTGAATCATAACTGAATCAGAGATGATGCAATTGCAAAGAAAATTTTCATTACCATTCTCCCTTCTTTTACAGTTGTTGATAAAAAATGTAGAATGGATAGATGTTACATCGGTACCTCACAGAGACTCCTATTAGTGTGGCTGTACATAATCATTAAATTGCCAATTAATGGTTTTATATTCACTCGGTCGCCACACGCAATCATTTTATTACACTTTCACACGTGTAACGATGTATTATTTCAGACTGATAATTATGGCCATCCCTTTGTTTTTCATGAATATTCCTCATTCTTTACATCACGCATTCACATTCATCAAATCACTCATGCATACATCCACACTCGGTAAAAACCGATTTTTTTGTTGTTTTTATTCAACTGGTTTTTTCATTTTTTTTTTGTCTTTTTTTCATTGAGAGGAAGCTTCAATCGGGGTTCAGCATCAATTTTTCTACTGCTGTGTATGAAAATTGGTTGAAGAATATCATGTTACCATAATTCTATCAATAAAAAAATTCAATGCAACTCCCCAATTCACCAATTCACGAATACCCTTCCAACTAAAAATTTGGTTTTCCATTTTCATAAGTAGATATCAGCACTCATCATCTTTGGAAGTCCCTATCTGCTGAATTGCTACAATCGATGTCAATCAATACGAATTACGAAAATGATCTAGTGATAATCTGATACAAATATCCGATCCCACCACTTCCTCATCATTATTTTTTTTTATTATTTTCCATCTTTTCTGAAAATTATCGTATAAACTTTATTTATTTGTACAATTGAGATTTGAAATTTTCATCCATGATTACACAGAAGTGTTCGAGTTCTGATAGTGATTCAAGGACGTATATTGTTTTGTGAGAACTTGATCATCCAATAAAATTCCCTCTTCCCAGTGGTGTTCGATTATCAATTCTGGAGAAGTACCGAAAATTTTGAAATTCCGAGCAATACGATTCGATCCGAATCTCGTTTTATATCATCTTCCTATACATTAATGATTTTCTTCTTTGTTTTATTTACATATCATTGTACACGACACTTGGTACCACGCCGACAGTGTGAGTTCTTATCGATGTTTCTACTCTCTCCACTTCTCTGATATTCAATGAGACAATTCTGCACTCGTCGACGCTTGCCAAGTGAAGTTGTTTGAAATAAAAAAAAATCCTATGCGTTCTAAGAATTACATGAGAAAGCCATCTCACGTGAATCATCTTTAGTGCATGAGAGGAAGAACTCAGAAGTGGATCTGAATGGTTGTTGAGGGGAGACGTAATTCTTCTTGCGTAATTTTTTTTATTCTAGACATGTGTCGAAATATGAGAAGGGACGAGTGAACGAATGTCTTGACAGCTTTCAGAGCTAAAAACGGGAATTCAACTTTTTTTTTACAATTGATGGGGGTGATTTTCGATTCTTTCCAATTATTTCTGCACACTCTACCCTCAAAGTGATGTAATAATTGAATTTCCGGGAAGAATATCATGTTTTCATATCCATACTTTAAACTTAATTGTTTTTAGAAAGAAATTTTTTGGAGAAATAAAAATCATATAGATTTTTTAAATTGATGGGCCTTTGATAATTCCAATTTTTCAACCATTTTCAATGATTAATTATTAAATTTCATTGAAGAATATCATGTTTCCATATCCATTCTTCAATTTTACAAAAAAATAATAATAAATGTTTTCTGTAAAGACTTAACAAATTTCAAATGAGAAAAAATGATCTGCAATTAAGGGTATTTGAATATTTGGAAAAAATCAAAATCGCATCGATTTTTTAAAATTGATGGGCATTTGATAATTCCAATTTTTCTACGATTTTCAATCATTTCCCATTATTTCCGCAAATCCTACCCCCAAATCATTCCAATGTTTAAACTCCCTGGCAGAATATCACATTTTCATATCCATTATTCAAATTAAATTAATTTTACAACAAAAAAAAGATCTCACCCGGTGTTACCACTAAAAATTCCATAAATTTCGAATGAAAAAAAAAGTAGAATCAACGGTGTATCATATCAAAATATTTGGAAAAAATCGAAATGATATTGAGTCCAAAAAACGCATCGTGTTGAATAAAAAAAATGAAGTTTCAGTTCGGACAAAGAATGACACAAAGAATGAGAAAGAAATGAATGCCTCCCTCAATCATAGACCATTTACGAAAGAAAATTCACACAAGACGACTCTCATTGGCGAAGGCGTTCGATTATCTCTCGTATCCCACGAAAATGCGATTTTTCCACACATCCGAATCCAGAGGTAAATTTAATGTTTCAGTTATCATGTTTGGTACTCACCAAACGTTCTGAATAATCCATTCGTTTTTACACATAATAAGCATCGTCAGGATGTTCCTGAATAAAAACCTCCAAAAATTTCTCATCTCGATGGGCTCACTACATAGCAAGAGAAAGAATAATAAAAGCGTAACATACTTTGAATGAAATATCGATTAAAATAACTATGAAAAATCTATCGAGGGATAGAAGATATATGTAGTTCAATCGAGATGTTAATTTTTTGGATAAAAAAAAAGTATCTTAAATCCTTCACAAATACAACTTTCTCCATCAAATGTTAAACAGAGCGTCGAGCAGAAACAAAATAATTCGATACATGAGATAACGATTAGCATGGGAAATAGAAAAAAAAATGAGTTATGAAGTGCAAAAGAAAATACTGGTTTGTACCTAAACATAACTCGCGGAACGTAGTCGGCAAACATTTCTCTATTTTTCGTCGCTCAATTCAGATATGATCACTGCCAATCTGTCCGTTAATTATCATATTCAATTTGACAGAATTTATTCATTCAAATAATCCTGCCTCAATTACTCCATCAATCATCCCTCTGACAACTCTCATATTCACATGCCTTGTACTTCATCCATCCTATACTTATTACAGGTACTAATTTTTCAATTTTTAATTTTTTTTGTTTGTTATATACTTTTTTAATATTTTTTTAATTTTTCGTTTTTTTTTTCGGTTCACTTCGAGTGAATGTCTAGACTACGTCCTACAAGATATAACGATGGAGAAAAGAAATATGGCTTTGGGTTCATAATTTTCAGAGTGTTCCATCTCTTTTGGGCGACATTTGGGGGCTGATGTCACATCTACTTGAATTATCTACCAAGTGGAGAATTCAAGGGAGACGATTGATGAGTTCGTGAATGTGTCTTCAATAATATTTTGTTAATAACACGCAAGAGAAGTATTTATTTCCCTTCAATGACACGACAAACTGAATATTGAGACCCAGAAGAGCATGGAAATGCCAGTGAATTCTATTGAAATAAAAAATTTTAATCCGTTTCTGAGGAATTTAAAAACGCCTGACTCTGCATCACTGAAATCTCCAACAAAAGAAGTATGGCAAATGTGTAAGATATGAATATAATTTTTCTTCATTCGATAAAAAAAAACATCGCGAAAAAACAAGTATGAAAGGAAAAACTGAAAATGTAGAAAATGATTTCAGCCACTTGGTGATGCGACGATAGCAGGATTCTGACTGCCAAGGAGGCTCGAGCGTGCCTTTATGCGACGCTGCATGAGCCTACTCTCAGTCGGTGGTGACAAGCCGAACATTTGATTCAACGAATCTTTTCCCAGAAGACGATTTTTACCGATGATCTTTGGATCAGACGAATCAATCGCTGAATTCATGGAGAATGACTTGCGCCTTGGACCTATTTCAAACTCCTCGGACGAGTGGGTGGCGCAGTGTTTGCTAGGCTCTGACAATTCACTGCTCGAGTCGGACAGATGACCGTAGGGATGATTGTCATCGTCCGTTGATGATGTTGACAATCGTGGTTCACGATTCTCAGCGAGATCATCGAGATTCATTGAGAAATGCTGGTGAACGACACGATTGACTGCCATTGCCGACTCGGCGAATACAGATAGCTCGCGTGCAGAATTATTCCTCCTGAAATAATTGAAAGATAATTCACTTTGAAATAATGGAATGGGTAACGGGGAAAAATAAATTTAAGGATGAATTTAATGATGAATAATGTTAAGTAAAATAAAATGTTTTCATAAAATTTTCCCATACATATGAATAAATAAATAAATGAAAATAAACAATCAATTTTCCACCTTGAAAATCATTTGTTTACAATTGTAACAAATTTATTATTTTTCAAAATTTTACCAGAAATCGATTTCATGTCTAAAAAAAATAGATTTCCGAAAGTTTAAACAATTCCAATTAATTTAATTGACTCTTATAAATAAATAGTAAAACTTGTTTGCAAAACGGGGGATTATTTTTTATGAGGTGTCGAAAAAATTCTTGATTTTTTTACATCTAATGAAAAAAAATTCAGATTTTAATCTTTGATTACGATGGCAATGTGGATTTTCACATAAGACACTGAGTTAAATCCTGATTTACAAACATTCCTGCTTTGAAAAACCAAAACGCTAATTAAATTGAGAAAAAAATTAGAATTCCGAATCTAATCGAGTTTTCTTTAATTCTTTGCAGTTTTTAATAATCTTTGAATTTACCGTAAGCGTAGAGCTACTTTAATGGGAATTCCATCACTTTTGCCCGATGTTTAGAAATTATACTCTTCAAAGCATAATTAAAAATATAATGTACGCAATTTGAAAATATAATTGAAAGCCGAGCAATTACTCGTGTTTCAGACTTTCAAATTCGAATCAAACAATTTTTCTTTATAATTTTCAACTAGCAATGTGTCACCTCAAACAATACCCGTTCGAGAGCTTGTTTATTTTTCTCTCAGCGTATGAATCACGAAATAATTTCATACCTGATAATTTCCGGAGTTACGAGTGGCCTGTCCCCAGCGGATGTTGGCGTAGGTCCCGGATTAACCCATGAATGATTGAGAACACACTCAGCACTGAGTCGTTGGTGTGCATCTTTGACCAGCAATCCACGAATAAGATCCTTGGCGTCCTCGGAGATGGTTCTCCATTCACGCTCAGGAAAATCGTATCTCCCCTGCTGAATGCTGGTGAACAGTGACTCCTGACATGCTTGACAATTTTCACCCCTCTCCCAGCCGCAATCAGTACCACAATTACCGTAGAACGGTGGATATCCACATAGCAGAATATACATGATAACACCGAGACTCCACAAATCGCATCGTTTATCGTAATAACTCGTTTCACCAATGAATGCTTCAACGACTTCGGGAGCCATGAATTCAGCGCTACCAACTGGTGTTAATAACTGTGGCGTTGCCACAGGGCTTGACAAGGAGTTGTTGAATTTAATTCCCGAGCCAAGATCAAAATCACAGACTTTGATTGGCGTCAGTTTGTCCGGATATACGCAGAGAATATTTTCAGGCTTCAGGTCCCTGTGTGCAATTCCTGTTTAAAAAGTGAAATAATGGATAAATAAAATTGTTAATTTCTACGATATTTTTAATTAGACATTTATATGTCATCTTAATAGATTTCGTTATTGGAAATTAATTAATTGAGGAAAAACTAACGACTCAAATGGCAATTTAATACGAAATTTCAAAGGAATAAAAGTTAATTAATAAACTTGCTAATTATAGGTGTAATTACACTTTCAAGTTTTTGTTATTGAAAAATAACTTCATTGAGGACAAACTCAAGACTATTAAATTACAATTTAATATATTCGTCAAAACAAAAAAGGAATAAATAAAATTGCTGATTACATCGCAAATGGGTCTTTCAAACAGAAATTGACGTGAAATTTTAATTAATTTAGAGTTGGCAAACCATTTAATTTTTTTCTAATTCACGAGGTTCAAATTTCAATTTTATATGATGGTGGAAATGCTTAAAATTTCAGATAATTTGACTTTACATGTTTTATTTTCTCAGTGAATCTAAAAGTTCAAGTTATTATTGGGGCTTCGCAATATCCAATTAGGAAATTTTTTAATTAAATTGCATGAGAAAAAGTTATTTTGTAAAATATTAAAAATATTTTGTAGAAAATTACTTTCTTGGAATATTCCTTCCTTGCAAATAAACAACAGGCGTTGACCAAAATTTCAAAATTATTAATTTTTTTGTCGTGAAATTGCACAATTGCCTTGACAAAATTTAGAATCAAATTTAGAACGTCAAAATTTTTTTAATTCTCGAAAAATTAGGGTCAAAGGAGATTTAAATCGAAGCTCTAATGTTTAACTACAAATGTTAGATAGAATTTCGATGAAAAAAAAATGTCAAAAGCACTTGAATATTCTACAATGAATTCCTTTTTTTACTCTCCTTCAAAATGACAAAAAATAAAACTGAAATATAAAATATGAATCAAATTCCAGACAATTTTTCATGGGAATTTCCTCCCAGAGTTCTCAAAACCCGTCTCCCCAAAATGAACAATTCCTCAATAAATCATCGACTTGTTGAATTTACCCACTTCGCGAGCTGATTTCAATCAATTCCGTTACAATTCTAAGAAACAGAATTGCCCAAGCCCGAGTAAAAGGCCATTCAATACACCATGTTTTTATTCCTCCCTCTCACCTTTCTTATGAAGGAAATTCAGTGCTCCAGCAATCTCCTTAACAATCTGACTGGCTTCCCTCTCACTGAAGTGAACCCGCTCCTGAATCCTCCGGAGCAGCTGTCCACCATTTATTTTCTCAAAAACAAGATAGAATCTCTCGTCGTCCTCGAAAAATTCAATGAGTTGAATGATATTGGGATGTCCCTGACAATGATGAAATGTCTCAACCTCTTTGAAAACACGAGTACGAGCGTGACCGGGTATCTTGTCGATAATCTTCACAGCATATTCCAACTCGGTGTACAAAGAGGTGCATGTTTGTACAGAGGCATAAGCTCCCTCCCCAAGCACCTCTCCAGTCAACTTGTACAATTCTAAAATTATGAATAATCGCATGCATTACAAACTCGCAACAGCAAAATCCCGATGTAAAAGAAAAATAATCACATTTTTCAAAAGCCAAGTGAATGTGAGAACTGAGCGCCATCGATCGCGGGGATTCTAGAACGTTCTACCGCATCACATGGCATTGAGCGCGTCTTTATCGCATTGGCAACATGGCCTAGGCATGAGTGAGCCTACGCGAATTGTTTTGAAATTCTAGTGGACATGCATAATTCTAAAAATGCGCGAATGCAGTGAATTCGCGGCAAACAGTATTATGCAGATGGAAGCCTAGTTGAAACACGGACTGACGTGCATTGTCAGGAATTTTATTCGATACTAGCTGAGTGGCCCGGCTTCGCCCGGGCAGAATAAGAGAATATTGAATACTAGGATTTTTGAGAATTCCTGAAATTGGAAATCAACACGTGAATGGTTTTGATTTTTCTAGAACGCCCGAAAATTTTCCCAATTTTTTTGGAAAACCCTCAAATTCCCTTGAATTTTCGAGAAATATCCGAATGTTCTAGAAAATCAGAGAATTTTCTCAAATTTGCTGTAAAACCGAAGAATTTTCTCAAATTTTCACGAAAATAGAAGATTTTTCTAGAATTTTCTTTGAAAGCGGAGAATTTCCTAGAATTCTCTATAAAACTGAAGAATTTTCTTGAATTTTCTATAAAGCCGGATTGTGTTCTCCAATTCTTCGGAAAATTGGAAAATTTTCTCGAATTTTCTAGAAAACGGGAGAATTCTCCAGAATTTCCTAGAAAAATCTAGAATTCTCTAGAATTCCGACGGCCGGAACTGGCCGTCAGCAGGGATAGCCACTAATATTAGATATATTTAACAAATTGCAAAATATTATGAAATTTATTAACTAAATTTTCCGATTGATGGTGAATAAAATATTTGATAACATTCAAATATAATTTTTCAGTTAACAAGCTAATTCTAAATTTAGGTACTTGATTATCCATTATCCAAATAATCGTCAATCCTACCAAAATTATTGGTTAATAGAATATTTCTAAATTTAAATGTACAAATTGATGATTAATTTAATACCTAAAATTTCAAGATTTACATTAAAAATTGACAACTTCACAATTTAACGGTAATTATGATTGATGGATATGCCTATCACTGGCCATCAGTACCTCCGCGAGTCCCCCAAAATGAAATAAATACATGTCCCCGTGAAAAAAAACTCGAGGATAAACGAATAATAGATAGAGGGATCGCAAGAGATTAGAGAGGGAAGTGGCGGTGCGGGGAGTTCCATTCGGTCATCGTCCGATGACGCAACGTGCGACCGAGTTAGCGCGGTCGTGGAATACACACGTATGATACGATCGCAAATACATAATTCTCACTCCACAAAAATCACCGCAACCCCAGCAGTTCTATTTATTTCCTCCCCGCAGGTGTTCTATTGTCCCACCCCCCTCGCCCCTGCAAAAAATGTCTGTGCAATCACCTTGGGCCCTAAATCGCCGAGTTAATAGCGTTATTATTGCAATGTTGAGATGATAACGGACATGCGCCGAGTTTAAACGGCCAAAGCACTGACGTGTAAAGTCGTACAGCAGGTTATGCCAACGGGGGAACGTTCTAGAAGCTGGCGCACATCGGACATGAGCCAGATGCAGTTATGGCGATTCAACTGATTCCTTTGGAATTATGCATATCAATCTCGATGCATCGTTTCTGGGTACAAGTGAATACGTCATTCAGAGTGATACAAACCTTGGAAGCATGACGAGACAAGTGATGAGCCTGAACGCTGCTTCCTGCGTCGTCTACGTCTGGCCTCCTCCTGTCTGGCTTGAACTGAACTCAATGGTTCTCCTGTTGAAGCTATCTCTCGACCATTTGCCTCAACTGAAACATTAATATAAATTCGTTCTTATCAATTATTGAGCATTTGTTTTATCATCATAATAATTTTAATTGTTTTTATTTATTATCTTGTTTTGAGGGCAGATTTCTAGCGGATTTTCTAGACGATTATTAATCGTTGTCTTAATTTTAAGGGGTAACGGAATGCCGCTAATTTTCCAAATTTTTGAACAAATTTTTTGCTGAAAGTTATCGATATTTTTGCAAATCAAAGCGGATTAATGTCCAGGAAGCGATGATGAAGATCAATGGGCTGTGAGTTCAAAAAATATTAATAACTTTGTGCAGAAAATTTGTTTGAAAATTTCGTGGGATGAAAACAGACTTTAATGATTAGCCTGTGGCCAGAATTTTTCGGAATTTTCTCGTTGGAAAAAGCAATACGACTGGTGATCACCATATGTCCCAATGTATCAGCTGTTAAATTTTGATGTTATAGTAAATTATTTGCTCGTGTTCTAATTCCTATGCTCACTGAATAAGATTTTAGTGAATTGATTTGAATTTAGCGAATTTTCCCATCATTCTATGGATTTTCCTTTAAAAAATACAAGACTTTCTAATTCTTTCATTTATTTAAAAGGCTTTCGAAGAGTTTAAAATGAAGAATAAAATCATTGCAAAATGTTCAGTAATACGATCAAATGGGGTTTGAATAGAAGCTGTCAGGTTAAACTTCAAATGTCAAAGTTCAACCGAAAAAGAAGAAAAGAAACAAACTTGAATATCCTTAAGTTATTTACCACCTGTCAAATTTTGATGACTAATGAAATTCGGCGAAGAGTTTTCGCTGTGTACCGCTATTGTATGATGAATAAACGGTTTTTATGACTTTTGAAACTTTTGAAATCCCATATTTTATTGTTGGCGCAATAGAGTGCAGGAACAATAAAAAGAAATAGAGTTCAGGGAGTGATACCTTGGGAAAGTTCTATTCCCTCCTAAATGTATTCTAGACATTTCCATAGTACGTGATCCAGATATTTTTCATAACTGCAGTTACATATTGACTAGCAATTGCGATCGAGAAAGTTTACGGCGCATTTTTCATTTTTATAACTTAAATTTGAAGGAATTTCACCATTGAAAATAATAATTCATGAGAAAATCGGTGGGAAGTGTAGATTTTGTTTAAATAATTCTGTACTGATTAACGAAATTGAAGATAATCTGCTCAATTTGATACTTGATATTCGTGTAGTCCAATTAAAAATCCAAGCATTCGTCATAATCCTACTCGAATGACAAAAAGGGTCCATTTAGCCCTTGGCTCAGTTTTCGAGAAATATCTCCGAATCTAAGAGAGATAACGAAATTTACGTGATGACCTTTTATGTAGATCGAATTGAGGGCTACAAAAATGTTCATGACAAAAATTTAGCTACCTCTCTTAGATTTCGAGATATCCGTTGAAAACCGAGCAATGGTCAAAATCGACTTGAGCCGTTTTACTGAATTATCAACACCGCCTTCAGTTTTAATGAAGGGCTCGGTGTTAATTGCACTCCAAACTTTGGCTCATTCTAACACCAAATAACATTTTACTCGGCACACTAAGGACTTGAACACCGTGCATTTTTTACTGTGTAAATTATCCGTAAAATTCAATTTTTTTTTTAAACTCTGTGTTCGTTGATAATGAATGGACGTACGCAGAGTCAGTGCACTTGGGGTGACTTCAATGTAACAAACGAGGCATTTCATAATTGTGTGTATAAAGTCATCACTGGGTGTCTATTCTCGGATGTGGAGTTCTCTCCGCATCCCTTGTGGGATAAGGTGGGCGTAGGTCGGGCACATTATGGGCGCGTTCATTGACCGCCGATGGAAAATACCCAGTGAACACTCACTGTCCACGAAGTTATTAATATCTGCGAAATTTTCGGAAAAAAATATCGCCATACTGATGCAAATGATATTATGGGAAAATAACACGAGAAATTGGGCTTTGTAATTTTTTAGAATGATGAGGAAAAATTTTAAATCCACTTTTCAGAGGATTGAGAAGAATTTGTTGTAATAGGTACTTTGACACAATTAAATGAACCATTTTTTAAATTCTATTTGGGATACATGGTATTTATTTTCGAATGAATAATTCATCTCGAAGAAGACTAACATTTGATTCATATAGTCTATTTTATTTCTAAATCATGAACTTGATCTTTTGCATTCCAGTTTTTATCCTCATTAAGGAGACAATTCTATCTGTTATTTGAAAAAGAAAATAGAACATTTTCTGAGAGTAATTTTTCATGTTTGGGAACTTTTGTATTTTTTGAACTTATGAAAGAACATGAAACTTCTTCAATGTTAAAAAAAAATTTGTTGCAACAAACTTTGATAAATTGTCATTTACCCTCAAATTGATAATTCACCTACTGGAAGAGTCCGACAATAAAAATTAAGGTGGAGTGCAATCCGAAAAAATATTCTCAATTCAAAGAAATCAAAATACCAAAATAATGGAGAAAAATGAACCATTTGATGCATTCACAGCAAAAACGAATGTCTTAATTTTCCCACACCTTTTGTAAACATTTTTCAAACACGAAAAAACGTCTGAATAAAATGAAAATTTGTTAGAATTTCAAACGTTAGTTAAGATGTTTCAGCACTTGTTCGTCTGAAATTCAGACCAGTTTCCGTTGTATTCAGATATTTCATAAAACCTTAAAACAGAAATTTTCATTGTATTCAGACGTTTTTTAGTGTCTGAATACAATGAAAAATGAAAAATGTCTACAAAAGGTATGTGAAATCCAGACATTCGTGTGTTACTGTGTTATTATCTTTTTTTTTATTATTTACTTTGGTCAATGGCTTAAAATTTCCATCAACATGAAGATAATTCGATCCATCAGTGGAAAAAGATAAAAAAATTTCAGTGTTTGCTTTAACAAAGTGTCACTTATTTTGAAATTGATAATTCATTTCTGTAGTAAAGTAGTAAACTAGTATAAGTGATGTTTTTTTTTTAATTTTCTATTGCTTGAATGGAAAGTTCTTTCAAACGTGGTCAAATTTTTTAACTCTCCTGAAAAAGTACCATTGTTGCATCTACCCTAGTTTACGACTGCACCGCAGATTTAGTCAGTGTCCAACAACAAAAATAAAAAAAGAGTGCGATTGCAAAACATCTTCTCAAATACCCAAATAATGGAGAAATGTTCAACATATGAGGCATTATTATCCATTTTATTTTTGAATTGTTCACTTCGGTGAGTGGCTAAAATGTCCATCAATACGAAGAGAACTCTAAAAAAAAAAAAAAAAAAAAAAAAAAATTTCCAAAGTGCTTGCAATTTTGGATAAACATTCATAATCAACTCAACATACCTCGTGGTGCTAAAACGGCAAACGTCAGTGTAAAATACACAGTGCATGGTAATCACCATTGTATGCATATCCATCAAGAAAAACGTCACTCACGAGTCGTTTAGTTCGACCAAGGAGTGAGCGTGATCATCGCCGTTGCGTGGGTTAAGGAGAAATCGGGCGAAACGAGAACACAAGACATATTGATAACTGCATCGAGCCGAGGCGAAGAGGACGCCTGATGCATACATACTCCCATGCACGTCCGTAATATTCACTCTGGTAAAATCGCAATTAATGATCTCCCCCCTGGATTTTTCTAGTGCATCGTGAGTGAGCAGAACATAATGACCGAATGATTCATCTGCGGCCATGGCGGTATCGTATACTCGTGACCTCGAGACACATTGAGTCGCACACCAAAAGCAGAATTTCTCGTCATCAAAATGTCTCAACGTCGGAAAATGGAGATTATGATTATTCATTCTATTGACAGTTATTCTGCATCCCCACCCACGAATTTTGTCAGCGCAATATATACATGCATTGCGATATTTTCGTACAGCAGTTGCTTACCGGCGAGAGTTCAATGACTGGCACAGAAAAGGAACGGCGCCATCTCAAACGCTCGAGATATGCAACTAAGATAACGCCTCTCTGTCCTCGCTATTATTGCAATTGTAATACACTGTTAGAAAAAAAAAAAAGATCATGGACAGTTCAGTAGTTTTTCAGAGAGCGACATTGAAGTCATTTGCACGGAGAAAAAATTAGTTCTGCCGAAAAATTATGATCCCTTGAAGAGATCTTTTGTCGCGTTGAATCCGTTTACTTGTGGACAAAAAAGAAAGTTTCCACCAAAACGCGATAATTTTCGGAGCGGTAACTGCTCTAGAATTTAGCTTGAACAATAGAAAAATTATTCTCGTGAGACATTTAAATGTCTCTCTGGTAAATACGTTCGTTCTACAGAGAATTATATGAGCCGCCGGTTTTATCAAGTGAATGTCATTGAGTAGTGTGTCTTTGTCCAATAGACAGTTGTAATTTCCACGGGACAAGTGATAATCTCAAGAGGAAACTACAATTTTCTTGCGGAAAACTGTGTTATTGGCTACATAATTTCGAGGGGACAATGTTTTTTTTTGGGAAAAAAAATTTTAAGTGAGATAGACGTTCTCGACGGTTTTCAAATTTTTTTTTTTATTTTTTTATTTTTTTCTATTTCATTGGTTTTATCGAAGTAATTCTCGATTTGAAACCCTTTCTCTAGCCTGCTTCCCCTCCTTTCTTTTCCTCTCATTGTTATCTGCGGTATCATGGCCGTCTTACTCTTAGCTGTGCCCCATTCGAGCTAGGACTGCACGGGAAACCATGTAAAACCCCAGCCGGCCGATTGTGCAGTGCCCTAATATATCCATCTGTCACACTGACTAGATGGAAAGAGACACTAGGGCCGCTACACCGTACCTACAGCCCGCAATTTTTGTGCAAGCGAGGTGTTCCTAAGCGGTCACCCATCCAAGTACTAACCCAGCTCAACGCTGCTTAGCTTGGATGTCCGCCGGAGCAACACCTCACCCACCTAACCATTACAGTCGGTCTGTTTTCAAATTATTTAAAGTCTTTTGGCGCATGTTTAGGTCCAAAAGAATGGTTGATTA